TGGTGCGGCAGGGACTCCTGGGAGATGTCGCGCAGAGCCGTAAAAGCAGCGGGATGGACGCGAGAGACTCTCGGCCCCGGAGCAGAGGCACCTGGCAACGTCACGCAGAGCCCCAAAAGTGGCGGGACGGACGAGGGAAGCGCTCAGCTCGGGCGCCTGGGACGTGGGAAATGTCGCGCAAAAGAGCTGCGGGACCCACAAGGTGGGTGGTCGTCCTACCTCTCAGTGTCTGGCCTGGGGGTGGGGGACGCCGAAACTCGGCCTGGTTGCCCCTGCGGAATCCTGAGCGTTCTGGCCTAGCCCCCAGTTGTCCGAGTTCAGACGGAAGTGCACATGATATAGGCGTTCTCGGTGGCGGTTAGTATTGGGTGGAACGAGGACGTGGGTGTTGGGTGGGTGAAGGGGCGGCATCTGCGAGCCGGGGAGCCGAGTAGCTGTGTCCTGAGCTCGGGCCAGTAGGAATATGTCGTTGGGGTAGGATTGGGCTGAGGGAAGCTTCGGTGTGTTTGCCGGTGAGACAGTGGGATGCTGGGTGAATAGGAATCTACGAGGGTACAGGATGGGGTGCTGTGACCCCAAGGAGGCGTGTCACATGGGAGAGGAGGTTTGTCAGTGAGAGCCATAAACCGCAGACGTTGTTTTTGATCAGTCGGAACATCAGTGTATTTTACATGTGGAGAGTCAGAAATTACTTAAAACAGACGTTTATTCGGTATGCATGCAAGATCCGAAATTGTTTTTAAACAAGAAAGAATGTTTGAAAAGCATATATTGCTACTGGATGCCTATGTTTGCCAGATCTGTGAGGGAAGATGTTCACTCTCTTCTTTGGTGGATAGTTGGGGACTCGGGGGGATTGGCCCAAATTTGCCAGCTTTGGGCCAAAGTAAAGCAGTAAAGTTCACCAGGCAATGTCCTGAAGAGCTCAGAATTGAGGAATGCAGCAAGTGTTTAAATCAGGTAGTGTTTGTGCTCATTTTCTGAAGAGAAAACATTGGCTTAAAATAGAATTTAAAGCTGAATACAATGGGACATGGAGGCTGGACTAGTTTACTGTGATCACAGGTCACTTAAAGCGTTTCTGTGAAGATTTATTTTCCATTTATTTCACCATCATCATTCTTTATGTGATTATAAATAATAGAATCCAGTAGGATAGCTGGGGGTAAAATTGTACTAATGGCATTATTAAAACCATAGTTTAAGGATGTAATGGAAGTAAAGACCCCCTTTCCCACTTTACAGTAGACACTAATAAGAATTGGAAATAAACGACATAAAATAAGCAAGACCTATTTTAGAAAAAATATGAACACTAGAAAAATGTAAACCTTAAGCTGAAGGACAGCCTAATTGTAGATAGGGAGACTAAACATCAGCTGTCAGTTCACAGGACCAAAAAATAAGTAAGGATCTAAAATAGCAAACATAAGTTCGATTTTATGCACAAATCTTGATTTTTAACACTCTGGTAGGAAGATAATACCATCTTCTCAAGCACATGTGAAACATTCATAAAACTAATAATACAGATTCCAAAGAAAAAAGTAATTTCCTTAAAGTAAAAATAAGACAGTATTCTTTTATCACAATGGAGCAAACTAGAAATTGATTTTTCAAATGACATACACTTGGAATTTAAAAAGCTATCAAAAGTAAACTTGTTCAAAGAAAATGCAAAATGATACTGCAGCTTTTAAAAGAAAATTGATAAAGCACAATATATCAGAGACAATATACACTTAAGGCAATTAAATGAAATTTTATAGCCTTAAATTCTTTTTTTTTTTAATCTTTTATGTATTTATTTGTCAGAAAGAGAGCACAAGCAGGGAGAGTGGCAGGCAGCGGGAGAAGCAGGCTTCCTGCTGAGCAAGGAGCCTGAAGCGGGACTCCATCCCAGGACCCCGCGATCATGACCTGAGCCGAAGGCACACGCTTAACTGACTGAGCCACCCAGGCATCCCTAGCCTTAAATTCTTAAGACTATAAGAAAGAGAATTAAATTTTCAACTCAGAAGAAAAAAAAAAACTAAATCAAAGCAGAAGGGAATAAATTGTAAAAGTAAATTCCAAAATTAATAAAGCTTAAAAGAGAAATGAAAACTATGTAAGTGAATAAGTAAATAACCTTTGGTAAGTTAGTAGATTCCTAGGAAAGTACATTTATCAAAAGTGACAAGTTCTGATAAAAAGCATAAATTTATAAACTTTATTAGAAGAAATGAAATGTAACCCTCTCACAGAACAGCATCAGTCATAGAAAGTTTCACAGAAGAATTCTACCAAAAAGATGGGAAGTTTCAAGTTCGTAAATGGGACACATACAACATTTGGATCAAAACCTGAAGGAAAATGTACAAAAAGAACTGTAGACAAATCTCAGTAATGAATATTGATTTAAAAATTTTAAATATCGGCAGAAACCAACAGTATATTAAAATAAAACCTCACCAGGTTGAATTTATCCGAAAATGCCAGGATGCCTCAATATTTGGAATTGAATCAGCATAACTAATCTTGTACATAGATCTAAGGAAAAAAGTCATAAAATTTCTCCCCTAAGCACTTGAAAAGATCTTACAAAATCCAACACCCTTTCCTTTCTTTCTTTATTTTTTGGGGGCTTGAACCTGAGTTTAAGACCTCAGCTGAGATCAAGAGTCTGACATTAACCAACAGAGCCATCCATATGCCTCTCGACACCCATTTCTAACTTGAAAAAAAAAAAAAATCGCTGCAATAAGAATTGCTGTATCCCAGAACTAAAAACAAGGATCTTCCTTAATA